GTTTCGGTTCCAGCACCAAACAGGTCCAGAGTGCAAAAACACAGATTGTCGATATCAAAACCAGAATCCTTGTCTTCTTTCTGATTGAGACACATGAGGCAGACGTTGTTGGCATGAGTCATGTGGGATGAGAAGAGCTTCAACACAGCAGGGAGGTCTCACCTCTCCCATCTCTATGAGGAAGGAGTCGATGTAGTCTCTGGGTGACGAAGGGTCCAGGTTCTCTCTGTGCTCCTTGATCTTTACTTTCGTAAAATTTTGTAGCTCTCGTATTATGGTGAAAATCCTCTGATGAGGTCCAGGCAGCCATTTCATCAGCGTGGGCAACGCGTTGTAAATCTACAGAGGTGAGACAGAGAGAAATATCCATTGTTCCATCAAAGTGGTTCTGACTCTCCAATCTTCAATTGCATATCCAAGTATTGAATGAGAAGTCAGAGTTTTTTTTTCCCATTACAGTCCATGAACTGATCAGGGGCTACACAGTGGCACAATAATACAGTTCACTGAGCACTGTTGCCTTGCAGCAAGTCTTTGGTTCCAAACCTGGCTGGGGTCTTTCTGAATGAGGTTTGCAGATTCACCCTTTGGATACATGGGTTCTTCCTGTACCACCCTGCTCTCTCACATACTCCAAAGACATGACTGATAGTTTAACTGGTCTCTGTTATTGTCTTTCGCTGACTGTCCTGTGTGTCTCTGTGTTGTCATGTGATGATGACGTGATGGGGATTTCACCCAATGACTGCTGTAAATCTCTAATCTCAAACCAGTCTACTCATTCTTCTCTGAATGCCGACATCAACAGAGCATTTCATCCAGCCATCTGGATACTTTCTTTAAAACCCAGTCAATGCCCTTTCTTCCTTGTTCTCATGGTCAGTTTGAAATTGTCAAAGTTTTCTTCATCATATAGTTGACTATTTGTGCTAATAATGGGTTGAACAGATATAGACAAATGAAATGGTCAGATGTACTTTTCCATGTGCCAAGTGTTAGGTCAAAAACAATAATCTTTTTTTTTTTTTTTTTTGGTTTGGACATTTTATGCTGTCCTCACCTGTGCCCACACAGTTCCTTGTAAGTAGACAATCTCATCAAAGTGTTGAAGGATGATCTTGAACTGCTTGTCATTGTACTCAAATCGATTCCCAAAGACCAAGCAGCAGATGATGTTGGACACGGCGTTGTTGATCAGTTTATGGGCATTAAATGGCTGACCTAAAACAAAAACAAGAAAACACCATGATCATTTAACCAGCTGATGAAGTGTAGGCAGGTGCTCTAGCACTTCCTGGTAGATGGCTACATTGACTGTAGACTTCAGCAACCCAGTGGACCAACACCAGTAGATGAAATGAAACCCTAAAACCACCAATGACGGTGGAAACTTCACACTGGACATCGAGCAATGTGGATTCTGGTCCTTTCCACTCGACCTGCAGACACTGGGACTGGATTTCCAACATCGCCACTTTTTGCAAAAATAGATCCCTCAAAAAAGCTAAAGCAATTTTAACTGAACACAGCTACCTCAAGTTTCTCTTTTACCATGAGGATACAGGTTTAAAAAGCTGCAGAAAATACACAATTAGGAAGTCCTTTTCCTGTTACTTTCATTTTCAAATACTTCTTGTTGACTGTTTGTCTGTGTGTCAGTCGTTTTGCCTACACTGTGATGGTTTTTAACATACAGACCATGTCTATAGTTGGTAACTGTACTTTTTGATGGCTGTCATACCAGTAAGGTCGGTGTAATAAACCAAACATACTAAATATTCCAGACAGGGTTTTCTTGAACACAAAATAAGATTTTCCTTTTGTTATTTTGTACCTTGTAGATCAGCAAAAGCCTCTGTGAGATACCGACACTCCTGCTGGATGGATCGCTCCAGGGTTTTCTTTCCCAGACCAAAGTTTCTGAGAGTGTGAAGAGCAAATCTCCTCTGCTGCTTCCATGGATTACCGCTGGAAACTACAAGGCCTTTGTGAAACCAACAAAGAAAACTTTATTTGTACACTTATAGAAAACTTATCAAATTACCAAACCTGACAGACTAATATTCTTTGTGTAAAATGAGATGGATATTTTAAGCTTTATTTGAAATTGCAGATTGTGACAGAAAACATTAAGAATGTCACCTTTATTCTCAAATAAGGCTTCAAACAACGGAATGTTGGGACGGTCGATGAAGTTTTCTCCTTGTTGGATAAGAGTCTCTCTCACCAGCTTGTAGCCATTGATGATGACAATCCTTCCACCAAACAAACGGAGACTGAAAACATTCCCGTATTTCCCTGCAAACTGAACACAGAGAGATATTTCATTCAAGAAATAAACATTTGAAGAAAGGACAACTTAAAGAGGTATAATGCATTCCATCATCTTTGTCTCTATGTATCTTCAATGTGCTCAACTATAAAATGGGGCGTTTGTGAGTTTACAGTTTCAGACATTTGAAATAATAATAATAATAGTTAGAAATATTTTTAGAACCTTCATCCATCCATTACCTAGTGTGTTTATACTTGCAGGATCACAAGCATTATACAAATTTTAGATTATTTTAATTGGATGCTTGTCATTTAAACTTTCACATAGTTTTGGACTTTTGTAACTGTTGATCGTGGTAACTAAATCTGGCACAACATACCGCAGAATCATTTTGGCCTATTTGGATGACTGTCGATTCTACATAAATTTGTGTACTTTACTCATTGACTACTTCATATACATGTGATTTTTAAAAAAAAACAACCCTTAAATAATAACATCTAACAATCAGCAATAGCCTGTATTGTGACAATATAATACTAAAACCATATTTGGAGTCCAGTAGTTATCTAGTCCACAGCATTCCCTCTTTTTCATGAGACAAATATTCATCCATATGAGCTACACAGTAGGGTTGCAGCACAGTTATAAATATGTTGATTTACATCACAAGTTGTGACACATTGTCAGCATCTTTTTGCATACTAATTAAAATAAATATGTATTTTTTATATCAATGACATCAGGGAGATTTATTAGATTTATTGTGACAGTTTCTTATTATTCCATTACTGCACGAATATTATCATATCACTGATGAGAAGGTTAGTGTATAAATTTTCATTACTGTTTTTATTTTTTAAAAGTGAATATTTTCAAAGTATATTTTTAAGAAGAGATGGGGAAGGCTCAAGGGAAATATAATGAATGACTGTGAAATAGTTAAAAAGTTCATAGGCAAAAGATTGTGAGAACAGAGCACTTTGCTCTAGAGAAAACAAAAAGGTTAGAGTCCATTTCAGCCACCTTTATACTCTTCAGTCAACATATGTCCCAATAAAGTATTTTATCTGAACTTAATCTAAGGTATCTTTTATTTTTTAAAAGAAATATAATTTTGTTATGATTCCTTCATTTATTGTTTGAGTCACTGCTTTATATTTGGGAAACAACATTGTTTAAAGACAGGATCTGTATTTTATTACTGTTTTCTCTTACCTCTTTAAACTGCAGGTGAATTTTGGACGCCTTGATGCGAGGAAGGTCTCCGATAAAAGGAAAAGACCACGGACCTGGTGGAAAGTTACTAGGCACTCTGTTCTTCAAAACGTCTGTCAGCAGCAGAAAAACACAGACAAATATCAGAAGACCTCTGAGGTCTATCCAGTCCAAGCCGAGGAGACTCAGGATCGCCTCCATGTCGTCTGTGAACTCCGAGGTGGAGCAAATGAACCAGATGTTTTAGCAAATACAGCAGGAAGCAGATAAGATGAACTGCACTGAGTTAAAGTTTTACTAATAAACACAGTTGAGATTCAAAATAAAACTACTCAGTTTTTATCTATGTGTATGTCTTATTCAATACAAATAATGCACAGCTTTTTACTTGACGTTTTTATTTCATTTAGTTAGGTTTGATTACAAAAGTGATGACCTGTCAATGAAACTGACATGAACAAATAAAATTCATAATTTTTGCCATGATGATGAACTGATTCTTGAATCTATTTCTGACTGAAACACAATATTTGTCATGAAGTGGGTTTGAGGTGGTGAGGAGAGACGAAGGCTAAATCCGGGTTGTAGTGAAAATGATGAGATTTAATGAAGGAAGCTCAAAACAGTGGAGGATGACAGGCAGCATGGCAGAGAGGTTAGCATACAGCTAATTGCCAGTAGCAACTGATGACACTGAAGACTGAATAGGAAAGCTGAGCTTACCCAGGTCTATCCAGTTCAACTGGCCAGCACACAACAGACAAAACTGACATTAGACAAGGACCCGACAAGAGACAAAGACAACAGGTGGACTTAAATACACAGGGAGGGTAATCAGGGAATGAGATACACCTGGGAAGCAATCAACAGGGAAGACAGGACAGGGACAGGACTAAACACAGAAAACCTCAAAAATAACTACACAGAAAACACAGAACATAACAATATTCAATGGCTCCTTTATTGAATATGTTGCATGTTGACTTCATGTTAGTGTGTATTGAAAGACAACTTTGAATAAAAAAAAAAAACAACTGAATTTGTCAAATCATTCTGAAATTTTACAACACCCTCTTGTAGTGCTCCCAAAACGCCACTGGGGGCCGCCACTCCCAACTTGAAAACCTCTGACCCAAGTCATAACACGTGGTCACCTGCAAATCCTTGTAAATCTGCATTTTGAATTCTTAAACCATTAACGATTCCAGCCAAACATTTGTGAGACTTGATGATTATCCTGAAAGTAATTACAAGGAAAATAAACAAGAAAATAGCACCGACTGAATTGAAGATTTGTTCAAAGTACTGTTAATACTACTTTAAAAGAGATGGACATTGAGACAAAAAATAAGAATGCAAAATCTAAAAAAATGTGTTGCTAAACAGAAAGTACATGCAAGAAATATCTTAGGTAGTTTGATTACACGAAAGTGTTTTCATGATATTTGGGCAAATGCAGTTTAAATGAAAGGCTTATCTAATGAGTCTGGTCCAATAAAATCACGTTTTTTTCCTAAAACAGCCATTTTCTAAACATTTTAATCTTTATTGCACTTTATAGGTTCATTTTCATGTTGACTGCCATTACGATTCATTTTATAGTAATTTTATAGTTGTTTTTTGTCATCAGTCAGCAGGTTAACGTGGAACGGCACAGAGGCGGTAAGGTTTCGGACAGCGAGTGAGTCCCAGTTTGAACTCCAGACTGGGCTTTTCTCCTGGAGGAGATGAAAACGTGAACCTCTGGAGGAGGGAGGTGAAGAAGAGGAACAGCTCCATCCTGGCCAGCTGCTCCCCAAGACACACACGTTTACCTGAGAACGCAGAATTATAACGTTTTTAATCAGATATGATGGCACAGAGACTGTGATCGCCTTAAAATTTACTTAAAATGGCAAATCATTGCCAGGGTCAGCAATAAATGGAACTGTGATATGATATTTCACTGAGACACTACATGTCAAATTAGTTCAACAAACTTAAACATCCAACCTGCAGAGAAGGGGAGAAATGCTTCTCTCTTCCTGAATTTGCCGTCCTTTTCCAGAAAGTGCTGAGGATTGAAGGTGTACGGAGTTTCCCACATGGACTCATCGTGTAAAACTGAGTCCAGTATAGCAAGAATCATGGTGCCCTGAAAAATCAGTGTAGCGTTAGTCAGATAGGACCAAATACTTTGTTTTTCTGCTGACTGATAGAAAGCCACATTATTACAAATCTTAAAAACATAAAATAAAATAACTCAAAAATACTACTTGATTGTATTTATTTATTTTATTTTATTTTATTTTTTCATTTTAGCCTCTTAGTTTCCACACTGAATATTCTCAAAGTTAGTTCACAAAGCTCTCCTCAAACAGTGCAGTCTAAGACGTCTAACTAAAGTTTGACATGTAAAAATAGGGGAGGCATCTAAATAAAATAACGCATGTGCAGGTCAGACCTTTGGGATGGTGTATTTATCCACTGTAGTGTCCTGGTTAGCTGTGCGGGCCACATTGAGCGGGACGATGTTCCCCATCCTCTGCATCTCATGGATGACAGCGTTGGTGTAAGGCATGTTGTCTCTGTCAGCCGTAGACGGCTGCCTGTACGGACCAATCACAGCGTCTATCTCAGCCTGGACTCGCTCTGCATGCAGAGCAAAACAGAACAATCTGAGTCTATGAGAGGGAATGCATACTGTACAATGTTAGTTGAGTGTAGCAATGGAAAAATGTGTGACAGACTTAAAGATGCACCATTCAATCCAACCTTGTATTTGTGGGTTCAAGATCATGTACAGCAGCCCCCAGTGTAAAGTGGTGGTGGTGGTTTCGGTTCCAGCACCAAACAGGTCCAGAGTGCAAAAACACAGATTGTCGATATCAAAACCAGAATCCTTGTCTTCTTTCTGATTGAGACACATGAGGCAGATGTTGTTGGCTTGAGTCATGTGGGATGAGAAGAGCTTCAACACAGCAGGGAGGTCTCACCTCTCCCATCTCTATGAGGAAGGAGTCGATGTAGTCTCTGGGTGATGAAGGGTCCAGGTTCTCTCTGTGCTCTTGAACCCTTACTTTAATAAAACCTAATATTTCATGTGATATAGTGAAAATCCTCTGATGAGGTCCAGGCAGCCATTTCATCAGCCAGGGAAACACGTTGTAAATCTACAGAGACAGAATAGAGAAAAATTGATTGTTTTGTTCTGACTCTACGATCTTCAATTGCATATCCAAGTATTGAATGAAAGCTGTTTTTCATGTAAATATTTTTTTTATTGTTTTACCATAAACTTTCTTTTGTAAATGTTCTGCCATTCTCACCTGTGCCCACACAGTTCCTTGTAAGTAGAGTGAATCGTCAAAGTGTTGAAGGATGATCCTGAACTGCTTGTCGTTGTACTCAAATCGACTCCCAAAGACCAAGCAGCAGATGATGTTGCCCACGGCGTTGTTGATCAGTTTTTGGGCATTAAACGGCTGACCTAAAATAAAAACAACACCATGGTCATTGAACCAGCTGATGAAGCCTCTAGCACTTCCTGGTACATGGCTACATTGTCTGTTGACTTCAGGAACCCAGTGGACCAACACCATCAGACGAAATGAAACCCCAAAACCATCACTGACTGTGGAAACGTCACACTGGACATCGAGCAATGTGGATCCTGGTCCTCTCCACTCGACCTGCAGACACTGGGACTGGATTTCCAAATGAAACGCAGAATTCAATTTCATCTGACTGTTTTATAGTTGCTTTATTTAATTTCTTAAAAACATTCACCACATTGTCAGTCTTCTCAGCAGAATTGCCAAACCCTCCATGAACAACATAATTACTCCCTGCAAAAATAGGTGCTTCAAGAAAACTAAGGCAATTTTAGCCGAACCCAAACTGCTGCTGTTTCTCTTTTACCACGAGAATGCAGATTTAAAAAGCTGCAGAAAAAACTCAATTAGGAATTCATTTTGTTGCTACTTTCCTTTTCAAATACTTTTTGTTGAGTGTGTTTTTGTGTGTGTCAGTTTTTAACACACAGACCATATTTGTAGTTGGTTACTGTATTTTCTGATGGCTGTAATACCAGTAAGGTTGGGGTAAGGTTGGTGTAATAAACCCAATGTACTGAATATTTCAGACATGGTTGTCCTGACCACAAAATAAGACTTTCCTTTTGTTAGTTTGTACCTTGTAGATCAGCAAAAGCCTCGGTGAGATACCGACACTCCTGCTGGATGGATCGCTCCAGGGTTTTCTTTCCCAGACCAAAGTTTCTGAGAGTGTGAAGAGCAAACCTCCTCTGCTGCTTCCATGGATTACCGCTGGAAATTATAAGACCTTTTTTGAAACCAACAAAAAAATAAAAATAAAAATTATTTTGACACCAGAACTAACTCATTTCTTTGTGTGAAATGAGACGGATGTTTTCTTGCTTTTGACAGAAATAAACGTCACCTTTGTTCTGAGCTACGGCTTCAAACAACGGGATGTTGGGACGGTCGGTGAAGTTTTCTCCTTGCTGGATAAGAGTCTCTCTCACCAGCTTGTAGCCATTGATGACGACAACCCTTCCGCCAAACAAACGAAGACTGAAGACATTCCCATATTTCCCTGCAAACTGAACACAGAGCAGATATTTCATTCTGAACGCAAGAAATAAACCTTTTAAAAACCTTTGAAGAAAAACATCCGAAGTACAACTTAAGAAGATATTACACATCCCAACATCTTTCTTCAATATGCTCAAATAGGAAGTGGGAAGTTTGTCAGAATATGCTTTCAAACATTTCAAATAATAATCATAATTATAAATATTTTCAGTACATTTGTTGTCTTAAAGTACCCAACTCCTTAAGTTTTTTTCTATACTACTTTCTTCTTGTACAGTATAATTTTATTTATTACTGTCATTTAAACCCATATTTGGGACTATGATTAAGTTTTTTTCCTCTTTTCTGTCTGTTCTTATGTAATTATATACGCATATGTACAGGTATGTGAATTCATTTAACCATACTTTTTATGTGCTAATATCAACCCTTACTTCACTTAAAAAGATAACATAAAAATTTGATCACAAAGTACATTTTTAAGGTGAGGTGAGAAAGGATCAAGGGAAAAATATGATGAATAACAGTAAAAGCTATATATGCATGTTTAAGGTTAAATAGCTTACTCAGTTAAAATTGAGCACTTTGCTCTACAAGAGAAAAATAAAAAGGTTAGAGTCCATTTGAGCCACCTTTACGCACTTTGAGTTAATAATCTTCTGTTCAGCAAAGCATTTTATCTCAACTTAATCAGTTATGTACTTTACTTTTTTCTAAGATACGCATTTTATTCATTTATAGTTTGAGTCAATTATTTGTGTTTGGGAAATAAGAGCATTTAAAGACAGGATCCATGGGATTCTGCTGAGCCTTGCACACTTATTAAACAACAACGTTGACTGTATATTTTATTATTCTGTTTTCTCCTACCTCTTTAAACTGCAGGTGAATTTTGGACGCATCAATGCGAAGAAGGTCTCCGATAAAAGGAAAAGACCACGGACCTGGTGGAAAGTTACTAGGTACTCTGTACTTCAAAACATCTGTCAGCAGCAGAAAAACACAGACAAATATCAGAAGACCTCTGAGGTCTATCCAGTCCAAGCCGAGGACACTCAGGATCGCCTCCATGTCGTCTGTGAACCCCGAGGTGGAGCAAATGAGCCAGATGTTTTATTAGCAAACACAGTGGGAAGCAGATAAGACAAACTGTACTGAGTCAAAGTTTGACAGGTGAGAACAGCTGAGTTTCAAAGTAAAACCACTCAGCTGTGTTGAACCAGGAGCTGCTACCAAATCACAAACTATCTATGGAGCCAAAGAAGTAAAACTCTCTTTTTCAAACTGTATTTTAAACTACAGTGAAACCCAACTTAACAGTGAAGCAACATGAAACTTTTCAGGCTAAAATGATCAAATCACTCAGAATATTTATATACAAGTCACATAAAAACCATTTGTAATACCAATTTGTGGGGGGATTAATGTTGCTGTTAAACTCATTTGTAAACATATTTCACCACTTCCTAATATTGTTTGATGAAATAAAGAGAAGTTTTAATGTCAACCTCTCTGTCCAATTTGTAAAGCATCAGTGTTAAAGAATTCATAACGCTCAATTTCTAAAAAATAATTCCTTCAAAAGCAAAGATAATAAATTAGTAATTAGATTAGATTAGTTGTTAACTGATTTCTACAATAGATTTATATTTGTCCTTTAATTTTCGAGAGCTTCATTCTTTAGAACTTACACAACTTACATAAAGTTGTGTAAGTTCACAACTTTATGTGAACTTACAAAAGTTTACCAGTAGAGGGCAGTGTAGGTTACAGAGTCCAATGAAACGGTAAATAACACCTACAAAATGGCTTTTGAAAATCTTCCCTCTGCCTCCACATAAGAGTGAAATCAAACATGAAAATGTTAAATATTAATGTAATGAAGGTCTTCATTACTTGGCGGCACAACACTTAAAATGTGTTAAATGATAAAAGAAATGCATGATGAAGGAAATGAAACAGATACAAATAGATTGAAATGTTTGTTTATTGTGTGTTTTCAGTGGCATCTCAGCTGGAACTGATCATGTCCTGTTAAAATACAACAAAGGAATAAAATAGGTATTGATTGTTAAAATGTTTGAAGGCTTTGTATGGGTGTGGCTTACCTCTCTCTTCCTCTGCAGGGCCTGAACACCATAGACATAATATAAGGATAGACGCCTCATGCCCCGCTGTCGCCTATTGT